TCTCCCAAGGATTAGTCTACTGTACACAGCATCTGTCACCAACACACTGAGGAAACCACCGTGCATTCCCTCAAATGAAGAAGGCTGGACTAGAGGACAGGACAAAAGTACTCATTGCAGTATAACAGGCACAAAACCAGTAGAGGCTATAATCCACAACTCTATGCTTTTCAACACTGTGGGACCGCTCAATTACAGTCCATGTGAATGAAGCTCCATTATTAGCAACAATACTGGACTGGAGTGTTGCACCATTAACAGTATTGGGCGGGGCCCAGATCCTGCACTAAAATGGAGGTATCGGCGAGTGCCAATTGGCAATACGCTTTTGAGAGCCAAAAGTTTATTAAACTATTGTCACCCATTCCAGGTAGGCAATAAAAAGTTCTACTGGATTCACTTTGTATTAGTCTTTTTCCTGCTTCACAAAGGTAGGCAGCAGCTTGAAAAAGCCATTGTGGCAATTATTTTACATCCAAGTAGTATGCAGTTTTTCATATACACACACACACATCTATTTCCAGACAAGAAGGGTGCAAATGATCCAAAGATCTAAAGCAACTGTAATGTTTAAAAGAGTAACAAAGATAAACTTGATAAATACCAGTGGGACATACTGTAGATAAAATAGAAAGGCTGGGGAATATCATGGCTTAGTGGTGAGAGCAGTTATGTGGCTATCAAAGAGCAGATTTCAGGAACAACCTTAGATACCATCCAGACAAGTGCAATCATGGATAGCAGGCAAAGAAAAAGTTACTGCTTGAATGACCCAATGAATATACATATGGAAAGTATAAAAGCCTAAGGAGTATTAGTTTATGCCACACACTTCCAATGGATATTTGGCAAGTTGTGTACATGTACAGTTTTGGCAGGAAATGCATATGCAAAATATATTTTCGGATAGTTTCAGAAAATGATACAAACAGTTGTGCCAAAAATGAATTTAAATGATGATTTAAAGTTCAAACCAGGCTGCTGCTTCTACTTTTAAATCATAGCTTTAGGTTGTTAAAGATGCAAGAGTTTTTAATCCCTCTCTACACACTCTAAAAGGTGTTTGGTGATGTGAATTGCTGAAGCTCTCTGACCATCTGACAAGATGCCTTAATCGGGCCTACTGGTGCCTTTTATGTCACCTTGGATTTAAAAACAGCCTAAAGCTTTCATTTTGTTGAAACTCTGTATCTGTAATTACTTCATCTGGGCCTGTCATAAAGCCTCCCAACTTCTATATGAATCATATGACATGAGCTGGATTAAAACTCATTTAAAACTCACTAAGTTAGCCTTAGATCTTTTGTTACATATTTTGTTAACTTGGATTACTCATTAAATAAGTGATTTGAGCAGTTTTGGAAATGTAGTTTTTACTGAGCTGAGATGGAGTCAATGCAAATTGTAATCTGAACAAATTTTTCTATCGATTTACTTCTTCTGGAGTCTTTATGCTATTTTTGGATAGTGTTCATTCGAATATCATATCTCCGTTGTAGAAGATTTTACCCTCAGCATTTTATGTTGCTTCATTTTATAGCTCTGAGTAGAGACACATAAACTTCTATTTGCTTCCTTTAGGAAGCTTTTTCAGTTTAAAATGTCAGAATTAGTGTTGAGTTTGAGGCTTTATAGAGTGGACCAAAAATAAAACGTTGTTTTGAAACATGCAAATTGAAATCTATCAGAGTCTCTCTGTGAGCCTCCTCTGTGCCATCTAGAGACCTCTGAGTCCGCTCTGTGCCTTTCGGCTTCTCATCTCCAAAGCCCCTCCATGGGTATCCCTTGCAATCTGTGATGCCTTTGTGGGTTCCTGTGCCACAGTCAGCAGGCCCCAAGGCTCCTCTGCTGTGATGATGGCTTTCAAGGTTCTGACTGCTGAGACGCCGTCCTCCAGAGGTGCTCCCCCAGCCTCCTGATCATATTCCAGAGACTTCTCTCTGTCTCAGGCCTCACTGCCGGCCTCCAGAGACTCTGCTTATTAGTTGCCCACTTTTTGGTGGGATGTTTGTGTTTTGGTCTCTCATTGTTGTTTTTTATTTTTGAGTCTTGCCCTCCTTCAGAGGCCCCCATCCACCCACCTGGGGTGAGTTTTTAATTCTCCTTGTTTTTGGCATCCTTCATGGCTGCTTGGTTATTCATTGTCTGTAACCTTCTAGCGGAGTTGTGAAAATGATTAGGGAAAAGTCCAAGATCCATAGTGAAAAAGCCCTTGAATAACACTACTAATAAAGTTTGATCATCGGTGTTCAGTGAAGCAAGAGGTAAAGATTCAGAGTTGTTCACATGCTTGAGAGATGCTTGAATAAACATCCCTAATAACACTGTTAGTAGTGATAGCATTGCTATCATCAGTTTCTACAGACAAAAAACAGGCAGGCTCTTACCATGAGAGTGTTTGGTACAGTAGAAACAAGAATTTTCATTTCCCTTGAGGTTCTGTTAGGACCCCCTTCAGAAGATTTATTAGTACTTAGAGTTGCTATAGGTCTATTTATTTCAATCATATTTATTGGTCTTTGACCACACTGAGATGTTACTTAAACTCAAAGCATTACAGAACAGTTTAGCTCTATTAAGTAGCTGTGTCAGTAAATGCAATCTAGCTTTCTCATAGTTCTACAGTGCTGCAGGCAAATGTTGCACTTGTCTTTTTACGTCTGCTCATTGTACATTGTGCTAGAATTCAAGTAGGATAAAAATCATGATAACATTTTTTTTTGTCTTTTTTGTATCGACATATAATGTAACTTTGGACCTTTGAAGTTATGATTACAAAATAGAAAATTTCTAAAGGTTACTGTACAAAGTTAGAGCTCTGAAATTATACTAGCAGTGTGGTGGGAAAATGTTTTCCCATCTATTCCTCATTTCCTCCAGTTTAAAACCTTAATGTGAGCTTATTTTTTGTTTTCTACACCTGCTAGATAGGGCTAAGCATTAACTAGCTTATCTAATGACATATGAGAAGCTTCTTTTCCAGTGTGGGATATTTTGAAAAGAAAGCCAGACTCATTTAGTTTCAAGCATATTTAGCATCCCTATGTTTTCGTTCTAAACTGTCTGTAACTTGTTTGGATGGACATGTATGTGAAAACACTTTCAGCCTTTCTCTTGAGTTTTAAGCAGTTAGTGAAATCCCCTATCTGAGCAGAACAACAGAACATTAGCAAAAATGTTATCTATTCCTCCTTGCAAGTATTAATGAATACTGGTGGAATGAAGGCCACTAATCTTGTTTTTGTTGAATAAAACTAAGACCTTTTTTCCGATAACAGCAGAAATGGCAACAACTATGCTTTTCTAAAATAAATTAAACATTCACAGTGGTGGACTCATCTCCACCTTTGGGTCAGATAATCAACATGTGATAAAAAAAATCTGATAAAAAAAAAAACCTATTTCTTTGGCCCTGAAAAACATGCCATTTTAGGGAAAGATCTGGGCTTGTAAAGCTTGTTTTTGTGAACAAGCCAGTGTTTAATTTATGATTCAAGTGCAGCTAATTGACTTGAGGCTGGAAGCTATTGCTTTATTGAGACTGGTCTTATCTTCCATTACAGGAGAGCCCATTTCTCAGAGACCTGAGTGGCATATTTATAAAGCCACATAATAGTTATATGCCAAAATAACTGCATGGAAAAACAAGAACATTTAGCCTAAGGCCATATGATATATTAGCTGAAATTGTTTAGGTTAGGTTGTACTGTGAATGAAATGAATTTATGAAAAGTCTTACTGAAAGATTCAACACTAAATGAATATTGATCAGTGGGGTTAGTTTACCGTAATCACCAGCTAAAGCAGAAAAAAAATCTTCTATTTGCAAATTTAGCTAAAAGAGATTTTTTCATATAGATAAACTTTACACTGTTCTAATTTAACTTACCGGTATGCCTTATAAAACAACCAAGACTGAAATAATTAACAAAGTTAGTGCAAGCTGTAAAAATACATTAAAAGAAGAAAAAGAAAATTTTCATAAAATGAGGGGAAAATGAACTAAATTAAAACAAGTTAATAAAAGTTCAAACTAAGTTTAGATTTATGAAGTGTCAGGCCTTATCTCAAGAAATATATTGCATTGTTATATTTTGTTTAAGTGCTTTCTAAAAGACCAAAAACCTTTAGTTGTAGTTGAAATGTGAATATAAATGTGTGATCTGTGAAAGACAAAAAAAGACCTTGAACTTGAAGGTTCCTAAGACACCATCCTTGTGCAATACAAACACTGATTTTTATTCTTTATTTATATTACAGCATAAAAGTATTTGTCTTTCAATTCAGTTTATTTATATAGTGGCAATTCACAACACATCATCTCAATGCAGTTTACGGAGACAATTTAACCAGGTCATACAGTCAGATCTAAGGAAAACATGCTGATTGCATCGACTAATTGAGTCTTCAGCAATCCCTAAAACCAAACATGCTTGTAGCGACAGTGGAGAGGAAAACTCCCTTTTAACAGGAAGAAACCTTCAGCAGAACCAAGCTTAGTGTAAGCGTCCATCTGCTGAGGCTGACTGGGGTTCAAGGAGATTTATATTTCTTAAATGTTAGTGACCTTAAAGCTTTTAATCTTAGTTTTCTTATGTGAACATAAATTTATTCTATCCTTTTCTTGCTCTGTAACCCTGATCAACCCAGAGGTAAAGGCCATGTTTTCTTTCTCATTGAGCTTTTAAACGTCACTGTATGTTTTGACATTAGTGTGCATCTCTATAAACATGAGAGCTAATTTAACTCTGTTTATTGTTTAAATCTTTAGTAGATTATTAAAAGAAAACTCTTAAAGGTTCATTAATTAAGAGTAACTATATCTTATTAAAATATGTATTCTTTGTGCTTTATTTTTGGTCTCTAGTCCAAATTGGGGTTTTAATCTAACTCAGTTTCGGCTTTGATGTGGAAATCTGCAACCCCACGAAGAAATGTTGCAAAGCTAATCAAACAGCCTGTTGGTGAAGTGACGGATGAATCACTCTCTGCCTTCCTAGAATGTATGCAGCACTCTGTGGTGCACTGTCGGAACAACCTGCCACTCAAAGCTGGATGGCGCCGTTGATGGAACAAGCTGTGGGGAGGACAAGGTAAATACTCTGGTTCATGACTGAGAAAGAGATCTGAAGGCTTCTCTAGTCAAAAAACTGTCACTCTTTGATTTCTACAGGGAGTTAGAGTTCAAAGGGATTCTTTCCTGATTTTTTTTTTCTCTAAAGGGAAGGAGGTCTGCTGAAAGCTACGCTGTATTAGTTTACTGGGATTATTAATTCTAATTAAACCAAAAATCTCCCAAAAATAATGCAACCTAAAATAAGACCCAGTATCTCTTGTAAATAGTCACATTTAAAATGACTAGCCTCTTTAAAGCAGCACTCATATTTTTACCTTAATATATATTATCTTCTAAGTAGCTGTGATGTTAATTGAAGTCTTTATGAGATGACTGAGAGGTCTGTCATCTCCCCCTACTGGCTCAGGTCAGAAAACCCGACCAAGGTGGCAGTCTGGCGACTCTCTTCTTATTCTTGCAGTAAGGCAACCAGCTGTAAGGCAGCCCAATATAAAGCCAGTGGCTTCACTAACCACACACCTCACGCTGTGCTACCCACAGGTGATTATAGAACAGTTTTTTTATTTTTATTTTGAAAGTATAACATGTTGGAGCTGCCAAAAACGGCAACGAAAACCTTTATCAGAAGAAGAAAGGGAAAATAAAACGTGAATTAGATTGGAGAAGGGCTCGAACAAGAGTGAATTTAGGCAATGCTTTTATTCCGCAGTGAGACCTAAAACAAAAACAAGGATGTAAAACTGATGCAGACCTGGCAATGATGTTATTGGACTTGTACCATATCTGCTGACCTCTGTGGGTGTTCTAATTGTCAATTTAAAGGGATGATTTTAGCGTGGCTCTATAAAAGGTGAAGAGCAATTTTTAAAAAGTTTATTGAAGAGGCAGACATGCGCTTCACTAAATTACATAATGGTAATTATTTGTAGTATAAAGGCTACTGTACCCTGTACTTTTTTAGATAATGTTCAATGGTACCCACTTATTCAGACATCTGAGATATGCATCATTCAGCTAATAGAATATGCTGTAGCTGTAGGGTGCTCAGCTGATGGAGGGCAGTCAGTGTTTACAACAGTCCTTTTTTAAAGGTCCTGTACAGCTTTTTAAAGAGACATTTCTGTGAAACTCAAACTTTTTTATGCTGATCCAAAAATAAATGACTAAGAACCACTCTTAAAACAAACTAATGCAACGTTTTTCTATTTTTCTAGAAAATAATTTCATTAAATGTTCAGAATTTAATTTCTCCAGAGAAAGTTGCTGACATCCCAACCTGATATATTATTTGTCACTATGAATTTAGTGAATGAATGGTAGTATTAGCACTTCTGTCGTTTCTTTTCAGTGCCATTCATCTTCCCTGCATGTTGTATATTCTCCTTTCTTTAGGATATTGAAGGTAAGCAATGGGTTTGTTCGATTTTAAAGGCTGCGTCCTCCAAGGACCCGGTCTATCTGGCCTGGATCCTTAGATGTCCATGAAAATAAGGAGACTGGATGAGTTTTGGCTGTGAATTCAAACAGGTCTAGCCTTCCCCGGCTTTAAAAAACCTTATTCATTAGTTTCAGACGGAACTATTCACATACTTGTATGAGAAGAAACTGCACTTCCAATATTCACACTGTTCAGCGCCAAGTACCTTTTTCCTCTGAGCACGGAGCAGCTGGCTTGCTTGTATTCGCAATGAATCAAAGGATATACAAGGCTACGTAGGATACATCGGACCCGTCCTACAAATCAGGCAAAAAGAAGGATGCATCTGCTGCATACGAGGAGTCTTCGAATCCGAAAAGACCTCTGCGCTGCGCTATGATGTTAATTGGCCTATGAATCTGGTCTTTGATTCATAGGATCCCCTGAATTGCATCCCCTGAATTCCTATTCACCCATTGATTCCTTGCAATGGAGTCAGTCTCGTCCTTCTCCAGATTACATGCCTTCCAGTTCTGTGGCATGTGGTGTATAAAAAAAGAAAGAAATGTTTCATGTAAATAACGTTTGTTGGGATTTTTTTTATGCAGTGGTGCATCAATGGAGAGTGTGTACCATCAGGACATAAGCCAGAGAGTGTACATGGCGGCTGGGCTTCCTGGAGCGAGTGGTCTGCTTGTACCAGGACCTGTGGTGCTGGAATCCAGAGTGCAGAAAGAGAATGCGATAACCCTGTGTAAGTTTGATACTTTAATGTCATTTAGAGTAAATGTAAAAATTTAAATCCTGTAAAATTAAATATTCTTATAAACAATTAAGTGATTTATTTCATTAGAGTATAGATTAAAACCTTTAAATGTTGATATATTAACATTTCCCTTGAATATTACATTGGTTATCAATCAAATTGAAAGCATCTTGTTTTGAACAATGCTATGCCTCCCAAAGGTTTTCCTATCTCTCAATTTCCCTACAGTTTGTCAATTTGATATAGCCAGCTTTAATGTGTGGTGGGGGTTTTATTTGCAACACAGTTAAAGAGAAAGGAACATGATAAATGGTTTTTAAGTTAGCAAACTGTGGAATCACTTGCATTGCAGTTACATTAGGTAGGCTGTTGGAGTATGTTTTAAACAGCTTGGCACATTTACAAAATAGCTTTTACCGTTCCTCTATGCAACGATGCTCAAGCTCTGATGGGGGACATCTGTAAACAACATATGTTAAACCCTGTCATGATATGATCAATTAAATTTAACTCTGAGGACTAATTCATGTTTTAACTTTCGCATTGTGGTCTCGCTCTGCTTAGGTTAAATGTTGCTGGGAAGTCAGAACCCCAGTCTGAGGTCATTTGTCACTTCTTGCAGGTTTTGTTGCAGGGTTATCTCCACCAATGTTTCGAACAGTTCTGGTCAGATTCCCTGTTCTGCCAATAAAAAAAAAAAACATTACCATAGCATAATGCTGCTACCATCATGTTTAATATAGGAAATGGTTTGCTTTGGGTGTTGTCCACAGCTGTTTGTGGAGCTTGTTGGGAAATAAACATTGTTAAAACCACCTATGGTAATTTGTAAGATGCTACGAAGTTCTAACCTGGAGTCGTGAGTAAGTAGCAGTAAATGGCTGTGAGTGGTTTCTATGGCTAGATGTATGAATGCTAAATGTATTTTACTGTTTTGATCTGGACAGGGACTGCAGATGGAAAGTGGCTGTAGCTAAATCTGATGTAATGTTTAGTTTCTTCTTTCGTTCAGATTAGTATATTGACACATTATCCCTGAGAAATAAAAAGCAGACAAGCGTACAGTGCATAAACAGTAAAATAAGCCTAGTTCTATATTGTTTGTGATAAACTCCAAATATTACCATTTCCCTAGCCAGCACAACTAGCAGTGCTCCAAAGCCTTACTTCCGCCGAGATGTCTTGTGATCCAATTACCAAAATTCAAGGCCAAAATCATTATTTTACACCAAAAAGATTTTTTTGTATATGTCCTTCAATCTATTTTCAAGAATATTATATATATAAAGATCCAATATAAAGATCAGATCATTCCTCACTCCACTCTGTCTAAGGGTCTTGTTAGGTTTGAAATGTACTGGGATTTTGTGTTTGGAGAAAAATCTGTTTTTCAAAGACTCCAGCAACATGGAGATGTTTTTGCGTTTGATATTCTCACCGTTTTGTTCTGCTGCGTGTCTTTTGGATTTCCTTGCTGATTTGACCAAGCCCAGTTTGGGTATTCGCAGGTTTGAATAGCACCTTTGATGTGTTTCTGTTCTTTGTGCTTCCCTTCATTTTTTAGTGACATGCTCAGCACGATGTTGTAAGGTTCTGGTGACTGAAATTTTGTGTTCCAATGGGGGGTGTGAGTCAAAAAGAAGATATTGATCTGTGTGAGTGGATTTCCTATAGACTTCAATGTTGAGGTTTCCATCTCCTTCCATGCTCAACAAACAGTCCAGAAAAAGTAGCTTGTTGTTGTTGGCATCCTCTCTGGTGAACTGGATGTTGTGGTCAACCGAGTTGATGTGTCTTGTGAAAGCTTCTACTTCTTTTAGCTGTGGATGACAAATGTGTCATCCACATATCTAAACCAATGGCTTGGTGGTGTTCTATTGAAAGTGTCTAAAGCTCTCTTTTCCATTTCTTCCATGTAAAGATTGGCTACAATTGTTGACACGGGAGATCCCATGGCACAACCATGCGTTTATATGTAAAAATTATCCCTGAACTTGAAATGGATTGTGGAATGGCAATGGTCCAGTAGGGTGCAAATCTTGTCCAGAGTGAAATTGGTCCTGTTGTTTAGGTCACTGTCTTGTTGAAGATGTTTCCTGACTGTTTCCACTGCCTCTGATATAAGTATGCACGTGAAAAGACAGAAAAGACATCGAAAGACACCAGGGTTTCTCCTGGCTCCATCTTTAAATGTTTGACTTTGTTTGCAAAGTCTTTGGAGTTTTCTATGTAATGTGGTGTGTTTCCCACCAAGGGGGCTAAAATATTAGTAAGCTGTTTAGCAATGTTGTATGTTACTGAGTTAATGCTGCTGACAATGGGTCTTGGTGTTCCTTCCTTGTGAATTTTTGGGAGTCCATATAAGCATGGAATGTCCTCCTCTGTATATAATCAGAAATGGACTATACTGTTAATTACCTTTTCTTTTTCAAATAGTTCGAGGTAGTCCGTGAATTTCTTTCTGTAGCCGTTGGTTGGATCTGTTTTAAATATTTGTTGATGTCACTCAGTACAGCGAGAATTTTGTCCTGGTAGTCGGAAGTGTTGAGGACCACGTCGCATCTTCCTTTGTCTGCTGGTAATATTGTGATGCTTTGATCCTGGCTAAGAGATGTTACGTCTTTCCTTTCTTGTGGTGTGATATTGGAAGGAAGTGGTTGGAGGAGTTGCTCTGCCTCTGTTTGAGGCACATGTTGTTCCTGATGGCAGATTTGGCGGCAGTGATCAGCTCCACAGTGGGTATTTCTTATGGAGAAATGGCAATATTCAGGCCTTTACTCAGAACATCCATCTCTGGCTTTGTCAGCAGTCTAGACTAGGCTAGACAGGTTTTTAACCCCCTTGCCTTGGACCTCAGTGTTGGCGGCTTCCTCCTGTGATATGTTGGTTTCTTGTTTAATTGCTGCTTTCTGTTGTAATTTATTGAATTTCGCTTTTTGTCTTTATTTAATTTTCTGGTGCTGTGAAAGCTGGACCTTACCAACAAACATGACAATTTCTTCAAACAAAGTTTCAGGGAGAAGGTTGGACAGCTTCTGCCTTTTCTGATATATATTGTGAGAGAGAGCTTCAATTGTGAAGAGAGTCTGTCTTATCCTTTCACTGAGCAGCTTGTTGTGTGCATTCCTAAGGATCTAAGCTGTTGGGAACGAGTCTTTGCTGTCTGCATCTTAAATTGAAACGAAAATGGTTCCTATAATCTGCCAGTTTCCTAACCAGTTTCTCATGAATCCAAGTTTGAAGATGTTTCGCTTTTTCACTTTTTCAATTCAAAATTTAACCCTACTAGTTTTTTATGTTTGGCTAAAAGCTACAGTTCAAAAAATGATCATGTATTAATTTATAAAAATATGAAAAGAAAAATGTGTCGTTGTAAAAGAGGCATTCCCAGATAAATGAATATTTATTTCTATCAATAAAGAACACTATTTTGTAAGTGAATGTAACTAAAACAGTCATAACATAGAAGTTATATTCATGAGGGTGGGCCACCTATATTGGATAGCACTTTCCTAAACTTTGGATTCCTTCATAAGTTCTGTTTATGCAAATTTTAAATGGTAAATAGCCTGTACTTATACAGTATAGCACTTTGTCAATTCAGGACACTTGACCAAATCATTTTACCCTACATTCAGTTATTCACCCATTCTCACACACTGATTTTACTGGATATGCTAAGAGAGAAATAACTTTTTTTTCCCCATCTGCTTTATANACTGGATATGCTAAGAGAGAAATAACATTTGTTTTCCCCATCTGCTTTATATGTGCATTTAAAGGACATGTGAAAACAACACGATAGAAAAAAAACTGTAATTAAATAACAGAGGAACATTACATTCAGAATATGGATGTTAAATAAATATTAATGTAATGAAATAAATGAGACTGAGCAGACCCCACCCCTTTAAAAACAAATTTGTATGCTGAATTTGGATCCTCATTAAAGCCTTTCACCTTGACAGAATTTCAACTGTGAAACTGTTGAAAAGAGGCTGGAAGTGGATGTTTATGTGTATGGGATGTTAAGGTGGACACCATCACATATATCACAGTGTTCCATCCTGTAGAAAATGCTGTTCAGCATCCACCCACTTTTTCAGCAGATGCTTCTGTTCTTTTCCAAAAGGGAAAGTGTGATAGGGTGACGGAGGTTCTTATTGATGGAGGTAGCTTTGGTAATGCAGCTTTTGTGTTGGCTCACGCTGAGTGAATCTAGTTTGGACACCAGGGATACTTCTCACTGCCTTTACAATCAAAAATTGCTTTTTTTTCTTTTTGTGCATTCCAACCCTACCATGAATAGTTTTCATTTAAGGTCATGAGATAAACAATGAGAAGACATATGATCTGATCCTCAGCCCAACTGTCAAAACACAATGTTGATTGATAGAGACAGTGTGTCCTAATCCCTAACAGCCATTTTTCATCTAGATAAAGAATAAAATCTTTAGATGTTTGTTGTTTGTGAGAAAGACAGACAAAAGAAGATGGGAAATGTAAAATATGTGAGAAAATTGTAAATTTGAGGCTTTTTTTTATTGGTTAAAATAGTTTTGTTTTATATGCATTCATACTGTATGTGTATATATATATATATATATATATATATATATATATAAAGTAAGAATAGTTATTTCTATTGATTTAATTTCTATTCATTTGACACTTCCAATTTTGAATTTTCTTTTCTACATTATCTTATAATTCTATGTTTCATAGTATCCCTCTCCATAGAATAACTTCTTATCATCTCTACATAGAATATAGAGATTATAAATATAAAATTAACTGCAAATTTTTCTTCAGTCCAAAACACAGAGGAAAGTATTGTCTGGGAGTACGCAGGAAGTACAAGATCTGTAACACCAGACCATGTCAACCTGATAAGCCTTCCTTCAGAGACATTCAGTGTACTCACTTCAACACTCTGCCATATAAGGGCAAGTTTTACAAGTGGCATGCAGTTATCAACAAAGGTGAGTTTGTCAAACCAAGGTTTGTTTCCTGTATTCCTGCATTTTTCAAGTAAAATGTTACAGTTGCAATCTTTTGTAGCCATTTCCTTTCTCATCTAGCTTTTCTGCATGGAATAATTCAGGTTACATGTTTTGTTTATTCCTATTT